TTGATACGTCGCATCCAGTTCTCTTTATTTTGTTCTCTTCACGCTCATGTTGTCCCCAAAATGTTCTGGAATATAGGGCACAATGATCCAGTGGTAGATCCGAGGTGGGGGCTGGGGGGGTGGAAGCGATGGGGGCTAGTGCCTCCCCTTTCCCCATGAGTCCCCAATCATTGGAATTTTCTTGATAATTTAATTATCAGAGAAAATACATCGCAATGTTTGTTTTTTAAGTAGGGCACTATTTAACACCGTGGGATTTCAAGACCTGCCGCTGCCTGGGAAATGTGTAGATCCGCCTCTAATAAATGTTCGATTGTTAAATATAAGCTAATCTTCGATTTAAAGCTTTCGTGACTGCAGGGATTCATCTTCTTGGTTCTTAAATAGACGCTCCAAGCCCAGGACGTGTCATTCAGACTCTGTCTTATCGACAGACCTGTTCTTCACCTGAAGACGGTTGCTTGCGTTGTGGCCGAAACGTCGTGAGAATTATTTTATTATGTTTTATTTTTATTATTTTATTATTTCCATTCTACGTGACTTTACCGAAAGAACCAAGAAGATACGCTAACCTTGTTCCCTAGTGGGAGTGCCTCATGCAGATAGTATGCAGATTTGTCGCTATTCCAAAGGCAACCCTAGCAGTGTTCTGGAAATATCGTGTCCGAAATGAAGCTCCGATTGACAATCGTAATTTTTCTTCTTGGTTCTTTCGGCAAAGTCACGTAGAAGGGAAGTAATAAAATAATAAAAATAAAACTGAATAAAATAATATGTGAGAATTATTTTATTATAATATGAGAGAATTATTTTATTATATCATTATATTATATTATTATACTATTTTATTATGTTTTATTTTTATTATTTTATTACTTCCCTTCTACGTGACTTTACCGAACGAACCAAGAAGATGAATCCCTGCAGTCACGAAAGCTTTAAATCGAAATTTAATCGTAATTGTAATAATTGACAGCCCTTTGTCATTCCACTGCTGGATGAAGCCATCCATGAATTGCCATCCATCGGGATTGTTTAATATTCCTTCAAGCTGTTCGGGTTAGCCCAAGACAGTAGGGGCAGTCCAGTGTGAGGTCTGATATCACTCGACACAGATGTGTGCCTTGGCAGACATTCCTAAGATTGGCAATTAGATTAATAATGTTGGCAATTATGTATGTAGAACTTCTTTCACGCCGTACGTGGCCAGCCGTGCTGATCGGATGTGGGTGAGACACTGGCACAATTGATATGTGAGGACGTTTTGAGTTGGTGGAGGTGTTCTCGCGAAAGGGGATGGAGCCCAGGACTGGTTCAAGTATCACTCGTCACCGCTGTTCGCCGTCGCTGGGAATCGAACTCAGGTTACCGGATTCGCAGCGCATCGGGATTTTGTGGGGAGGGTTAGTAACGCAGACGGATTTCCATGCGGATTTGTTCCGTTAAACAGTACAATTTTAATATGAAAAAATGCATATCGTAGACAAGATATAGAATACAGAAAAACATGTGTAAAACGTAGCATATTAACGACTGTAAGAGTGAACGTGTTTTGTATGTAGCGTAAGAGAACATTTTAATTTCGAAATGTGTTTAGGCTATCAGTTTACGTTACCGATGTTCGGCCTAATCCGACACATTCTGTAAATCTCACCCGGATATGAAATTTCTTCGGATTATCCAATTTAGTTTATTTGCCTGTGTTGTTGTTGTTGTTTCGGATCGGTCTAAACATTGTGACGTCAACTCCCGTCCGCGTTGCTCTCCCGCTAAAAGTGCTGTCACGTGCGGCATCTTTAAGATTTGTGGCGTCACTTTTGCTGACATCATTAAAGTATAAAAACGTATGCACACGTTAGAACTATTCTTTCACGGATGGAACCTAATGTTAGGAAATCAATTAATAATATTTGAAATTAAATGATTATATTAAGAGCATAAACAATGGGAGCTATTAAAATGGAATATGTTGAAATCTGAAAATATAAAAAATTCAAATAAAATCCAAAATTGGGCCTAAATATCTGACAATCAAATATATAAAACATTTTTAATACGAAACTCATCGCTAATATTTCGTACCATATTCCCCGGATTATAAGACACTCTAGAAAACAAGACACACCCCAATCTTCGTGTAAATAGCTTCCACGCCGTCGCCCACCCTTTTTTGGCCCCTCTCTCCCGATACGTTCCATTCATTGGCTACCACATTCTGATGAGCCCCCCCTCTCCTCCCCCCTCAACTCGCTTTTAAGGGATTACATCTTGAATCATTGCCTCACTTGATGCAGCTAATCCGGCTGTGACTGTCCCACCTGATGACGGAGACTTGTGTTGCCTCCGAAACGTCGTGATCTTTATTTTATTTTATTATTTTATTAATTTTGATGTTTTACCTACGTGACTTTACCGAAAACACATAAGAATATGATTCCTTGCAGTCACGAAAGCTTCAAGTCTAGAAGTAAAGAAAGTTATACAAATCTGTCCTGTCCCGCACCTCCGGTTAGCACGGTTGGCTACGTACGGTGCGAAAGAAGTTCGACGTACAAAGATTACGTACAAAGATTACGTACAAAGATTACGTACAAAGATTACGTACAAATACCAGATTATAAGATGCATCCCCAACTTATGCTTTGAGATATAGGAGGAAAAAAAGCGTGCCTTATCATCCGAAGAATGCGGTTAACATTTCCACGACTTGTTAAAAATAATGAGCACAATAGCATTGAGCAAGACAGGGATTCATCTTCTTGGTTCTTTCGGTAAAGTCACGTAGAAGGGAAGTAATAAAACAATAAAAATAAAACATAATTTTATTATGTTTTATTTTTATTAAAACATAATTTTATTATGTTCTATTTTTATTATTATTAAATAAAACATAATTGTATTATGTTTAATTTTTATTATTTTATTACTTCCCTTCTACGTGACTTTACCGAAAGAACCAAGAAGACAAGACAATAACAGCAACACATTTGAAAAGCTTTCACAATCAACCCAATCTTCGCCGCTTTATGGATCATAAGGTGACTGGGAAAGGAATCACGACGAATGAGAGGCCGTCCATAATTGACGTCACGCGATTTTGGACGATTTTTTATCTCCCCCCCCCCCCCCATCGTCACACGGCGTCAAAAAAAGTCAAACCCCCCCTCAAATAAGACGTCACAAAGCTCTGCCCCTCCCCCCCAAAAAAGTAAAACATGCTTCAAAGGAAAGCTGTTTCGGGTGTGGACCAATCAACTTCAAGGACAGTGCACATTATCAGAGTTATGTTTTTTGTTTGCATTACGACTGCAGGTATTGTGGTCTATGCAAACATGACTCCTTGTAAAAAAGGTGTCAGTTTTGTTGCCAAATAGAAGGGTAAAAAACCTATTATCATGCTTCAAATCGCTTTAAACTATTGTCATTGTAGTGCGTTATTTAATGTGGCGCTGCACTCTGATGTTGTAGGAGAAAACATTTATTAAAAAGTCAATTTAATTAAGTAGAACGTGTTGTCTCTATTTATTTAAAGTTGCGCATTTTGATGTGACGTCACATTTCTCAACCACCCCCCCCCTCGTCACACATCGTCACAAATGTCTGACCCCCCCACCTACCCCAGGTGCGTGACGTCATTTATGGACGGCCCCTGAATGGATTTGATGAAATTCATTCTCGGATACGAATCCCGTCCCCGTGCAGTGACAATTCAGCAAATCGTGGGTGGTGGTGGTGGTGTACGGGGAGCGGTGGTGCAGCGGTTAGCGCACTGCCCTACGAACCCGGCGACCCAAGTTCGATTCCCGCTCACGGTCAACACCAGTGACGGATTATCTGAATCGATGCTGGGCCTCCCCTAGGTCGACTGAGCCTCAAACGAATGAGTCAACATCGCCACTGGGGAGACAAAAACGGCCGTGCGTGGTGTTGGCCACCCACCCCCTCGCGTACCCTTGCCGGCGTTCATAGGTGCTACGCTAACAGCACTTGCCCCAACAGTCTGTTAAGGCTATACGGGGGATCTGTCTGTTTATCTGTGTGTCTGTGTACGTGTCTGTGTGTGCGTCTGTGTGTCTTTGTGTGTCTTTGGGGAGCGGTGGTGCAGCGGTTAGCGCTACGAATTCGGCAAAGGTCTCGAGTTATATTCCCGCTCACGGCCAACACCGGTGGCGAATATCTGAACGGGTCCTGGGCCTCCTCTAGGTCGACTCAGCTTCAAATGAGTAGCTAGTGTAGCGGTGTGTAGTAAACATCGCCACTGGGGGAGACAAAGGCGGCCGTGCGTGGTGTTGGCCACCCACCCTCTCGTGTACCCTTGCCGGCGTTCATAGGTGCTACGCTAACAGCACTTGCCCCAACAGTCTGGTGAGGCTACACGGTGGAGGGGGCGAGGGATCTTTGTCTTTGAGGGGGGCCACCCAGCCTGACCCAGCTGCAGACCCGCACAATTAAACGTGAATGCGACGGGCTAAGCGTGTAACCGCCCTGGTAATAGGAGGTTAAGAGTGAGCGCCGATTGTGTGGTTAATTAAGTTCACGACTTGGGATGAGTTGGGTGAGCAAAAGCGCATGACCTCCTTTCCGCATCCACTTCCACGCAATCCTCATTCCCTCCCTTCCCCCACTGCAGTCTTCATCTGCTTGGTTCTTTCGGTAAAGTCACGTAGAAGGGAAGTAATAAAATAATACAAATTTAACATTATAAAATAATTTTATTATGTTTAATAATAAAAATGAAACATAATACAATAATTTTATTATGTTTTATTTATAAAATAATTTTATTATGGTTTATTTTTATTATTTACATAATAAAATAATTTTATTATTATGTTTTATTTTGCAGGGATTCATCTTCTTTCGGTAAAGTCACGTAGAAGGGAAATAATAAAAAAATAAAAATAAAACATAATTTAATAAAGTTTTATTCTGTATTATTTTATTATTTAAAATAAAATAATTTTGTTATGTTTTATTTTTATTATTTTATTATTTCCCTTCTACGTGACTTTACCGAAAGAACCAAGAAGATGAATCCCTGCAGTCACGAAAGCTTTAAATCGAAATTTTCTGGTTTCTTCCAGGATGTTTCTGTTGCGCGTCGCCGCTCTAAGATGTTCTCCGTTCATATTTTATTTGTTGCGGTTGCACCCGACTCGAGATCCGCATGGCTCACAGGGCTATACCTAATAAATGAAACTTGAAACTTCACCGCCTTACCGCGCGTGATTCGAAGAGATTTGATATGCGCACTCCCGTAGGGAAATTTGCACACGTGCGTAAAGAAATGCCAGAATGTGTCCCAGGCCGATTGCTGGTGCCAGCGAATATCGTCTCCCCAGGATTCCTTCTTTTCTCTTGCTCCCCGCAATATGGAACTCCCTTCCCGCAGCCCCCCGTCTCCTGCCGACTCCCTTCCCCATGTGTAAGTCCAGGCTCAAGACCTCCCCCATCTACCCTGGCAATGACTCTCTCTCTCTCTCTCTGCCGGAGACTCTCTATCTATACTGCATATGTTAACGTCTACACGATGTGCATGTCTCGCTGCCTCTACCGTGGCATCTTAATATGCGGCTGTAATTACACGCTATATGAATCCCAATTGAATCGTATATAATACCCTCTCGCACGTCTCCTCTCAGCGGAGCTCCGCGCTGGAGGCGTGGCCCCCCTCGCGGAGCTCCGCGCTGGGGGCGAGGCCCGCTCGCGGAGCTCCGCGCGACGTCAAACCGCCCGCTCGCGGAGCTCTGCGCTGGGGGCGAGGACCCCCCCCCCTCCTCACTAATATCCACGCTAGAGTGAGGCCCGTTTGCGGATCTCCGCGCTAGGTCAAGCCCCCCCCCCCCCCTCGCGGAGCTCCGCGCTGGGGGTCGAGGCCCGCTCGCGGAGCTCCGCGCTAGGGCGAGGCCCCCTCGCAGAGCTCGGTGTTGGGCGGAGCGAGCCCGCCCTTGTACCACCCGCAGGGGCCGTCTCCGCGGCGCACGCAGGCGTAGTGCTTGGCCTGGTGGCCCGCGTGAGTGCCGCGCGCCACGCGGTCCGTCCACACGCACTCGTCAGCGGAGCCCTCTCCACACGGCAGCGACCGGCACTCGCGGATCTGCCGCGGGGGGGAAGGGGGGTGATTGAAGGAGGGGGGTACAAATTAATGGGCGTGGTGCTGGACTTAGAATAAAATCATAGAAATGAAGGTGGTGTGGTGGTACAGTCATTTTTTTTCTTTACTAAAATAAATTATTGTTAAATACATTTGAACAAGAAAAATATTCATCTTCCTGGTTCTTTCGGTAAAGTCACGTAGGATGGAAATAATAAAATAATAAAATAAAACATTATAAAAATGTATTATTATTATTTTATTATTTCCATCCTACATGACTTTACCGAAAGAACCAGGAAGATGAATCCCTGCAGTCACGAAAGCTTTAAATCCAAAAAAAAAGAAAAATATTACAATGGTAATTTACAAATAAAACAAAAAAAAAATTGCACAACAAAGTGGTTAACCTAAGAAACTTTGTTGACGGGTTTTACTTATTTGTTTGGGAACGATTCGAAATCGATTTGGCCGGTAACGGCGCGCGTGTTGTGCACGACAATCACACGCGTGAACAGGGGGGGGGGGGGTTATGGTGGGGGGGTTACCCAGCAAACATCACACTCGTCACGTGACCCAGGGCGGCAGGGCCAGTGGTGACACTTTGCGCGTCACACCATGAGGGACCCCGGTTCGAATCCCGACTCGTGGCAGTTCACATGTTCTTCACCTGGTCGACTTTGGATTTCCTCCGGCTTCTTCCGATTTCCTCCCATAGCTTAAATCAGCGCTCGGGAACCTATGGCTCGCGAGCCATATATGGCTCTTCCAGTGACGGCATATGGCTCCCAGACAATTTTTGAGTTGAAAAAATAATAATAAAAAATCAGTTTGGAACTGATTTTAAAATACTTGTGATATTACTTAATAATACTGTGTCATTTTAAAGTGAACAGAAATTAGTTTTGAAGATAAATTTCACGGGTCACGCCTGCATGAAGCTCAACCTCACCACGTACGAACCAGACTACAAGGCCATCAGCAAAACCATATAGCACCAGAAGTCGCATTAAAAGTAAGACATATTTAATTTATTATACGTTAAAAATACTATATGGCTCTCAATGAAATATATTTAGAAATATTTGGCTTTTATGGCTCTCCCAGTCAAAAAGGTTCCCGACGCCTGTGTTAAATCATTCCCCCCACCACCCCACCTCCTCCCCCATACAATGTAACCGGTATTGGGTCAAAACATCTCAGTGCTTAAAACTCGCCTACAAATAACTCAACTGGGATGCAACTAAAACTATTTTTTGTGTTTTACCCGGGTAAGGCTGCACTGAGCTGCGAGGTAGCTCTTTTTCAAAAGCGACGTGGCCGTCACGAATGATAGCGCAACGAATTGGCTCATCGTCCTATATTCTTGGTTCTTTCGGTAAAGTCACGTAAATAGAAAACAAAAAATGTAACAAAATAAAAATAATAAAATGTAATAATTTTTTTTTTTTAAATAACAAAAATATTTGGCTCATCATCATCATCACATGGACATTTATCGCAGCAGGCAAACACTCTGAACGCGTGGTGATGTTTCGATTCTAAATGTGGAGTGAAACACCGGATGACCCCTTAGAAGAATCCACGCGACCACCACGGGGAGAGAGAGATACGCAAACTCCAAATTTACAGCAGGTGTCGTCAGAGTCGGGGTCAAACCCACGACCTCCTGTATACCAGGCGAGGTAGTTAACAAATGCTAGCCATCGTGATGATGATGAGAGAGAGAGACACGCAAACTCCAAATTTTCAGCGGGCGTCGTCAGAGTCGGGGTCAAACCCACGACCTCCTGCACACCAGGCGAGGTAGTTAACATCTCCGAGCCACCGAGTTGCTCCCTTATGGGAGAGCGAGTGGAAGAGTGATACCCATGATCTCCCGTATACCAGGCGAGGTAGTTAACATCTCGCCTCCGTGCTGCTGCTGCTGTGATTATACACTGCAGCAGCAGCAGCAGCAACATTGCTCACACGCCCCACACTCACCCCACCTACCGCGAAAACTTGGCAGGACCCTCCTGAAAACAGAGCCTTGAGTGGAATGACCAAACAACCGACGATGGGACGGGGGCGACACCGCGCTGCGTAATGAATCCTCCGCCGGGGATCTCACCTTGCAATCGCAGCCCATGCGGTAGCGATAGCTGAGGCTTTTCTTCTGCGACAGCGTGAGGCCTTCCCAGGGCTGCACGTAGTCGCACCCCGACACGGACACCCGGCCGTCGCGGATTTTCCCTTCGGCGGGTTGGGGGGGGGGGGCGGTGGGGCGGGTGGGGCGTGGGAAGGAATAACATTTTTTTATTTCCAGGCCTGGAAAATAATCAGGCGAGTGGGTGAAAGCCGAAACAAATCGCGAGCACGTTCCGGAACTGGCGGCAATCGCAGCTCCGATGAGCGCGGTTGGCTACGTACGGTGTGAAAGAAGTTCAACGTGCATTCGTACGCACATTCCTATGGGGCTGCGATGTCGCCTTGTGCCTTGACCCAACGGGGATGACTGGGTGGTGACCTTTGAAATTTGGCAAAAAAAAGGTCCGGACCGTGACTCTTTAGAAATAAAAACAATCACGAAAACGGAAATACCCGCGCGACCTTTGACCTCCACCTGCGAAGCGTACCCTGTGAACAATACTCGCTGCCGTCTTGACCAGGGGGTGCCCACTGGGCACGAACCGCGAGACCTCTGCTTCTCTGCAACAGCGAGCGGCACGGATGATGCTACAGCCCGGGCTGGGTCACCGCCCCATATCCTCGTTCGCCAGCGAGGCTACGGGTGGAACAGGCGTCCACCGTGCATAACAGGTCTCATCGGCTGCACGGTGGGCAGCAGATTGCGGTGGGGCACAATCCGTTGTTGCGCCCTACTTCTGCGTGCCCGCATCTATGCCCCGCACCTTCACCGCTGTCCAGAATGGAGGAAGTATGGTCAAATAACCGCCCCAATCCAGCGGCGGGTCAACCAAAGCGTCGTGCATTCACCCGTGGGATTTTGGCGAAGCCATCGAACAAAGACGGTGACGGTCGCCGCATCGTGCGGCGCTTTCGGACGAGCTTCTGCGGCCGTCTGGAACGCTCTTCCCTTCCGACACTAGGACGCCACTGGGAGCTCTGGCACTTTCGAATCATTTACATTGACAAAGTCACTTCTGTAGAACTGCTTTGTGTGTTTCGTTCGTCATATTTCCTTGCCGTACCTGCGATCAGCGCGGTTGGCCACGTATTTGCTGCGAAAAGAGTTCAACGTCCTTGCGTCCGTACATACGTATGTACAAACGCACGTACGTATGTACGGACGTCCGTACGCACATCTCTACGCAACTCCGGCGTGGGTTTCGATCAGCTTTGCGGTGAAACTCGCCGCTCGTGACTCGTGACTCCTCAACGTCACTTGGCCCGGCGGGTAGAGAAGATCTAAGCGTTTCAGCCCCCCCCCCTCCCCCCCGCGTCTCCCACGCACTCAACAAGAAAACGGAGCGGAGCGGCGACGCCGAAACGCGCCAGCCCCGTGCCGGTTCGGTCATCCGTCGCCGCAACCGCCCGTCCGCTCACCCCGACGTGACCGGAGGAGCGAGCCTCTGGCTTACGCAAGACCCGAGTTGCCCACAAGGTGGGTGGGGGGGTGGGGGGGTGGGGGGGAGGGTTACCTGTGATGACGTACTGTGTCTTGCTGAGGTCCAGCGAGGGTGCACAGAGGCCGTCCATCGTCGGGGTGTAGAGTTGCGTCACCTCGCCCAGGAGCTCCATCCCCTTGTAGATCTATTTTCGCACCACACCGGACGACGCAGCGCGTCCATCGACAGCGGTGCCGCGTGCGACGACCAACTCCCCCCCCCCTTACCCTTTCTTATAAAGGTAAATAAACTAATTCTAGATTTGAAGCTTTCGTGACTGCAAGGATTCATACTCTTAGTTGTTTTCGGTAAAGTCACGTAGGTAAAAAAATTAATAAAAATTTATAAAATAATAAAAATCACGACGTTTTGGAGGCAACACAAGTCTCCGTCATCAGGAGGGACAGTCACAGCCAGATTTGCTGTATCAAGTGAGGCAGGGATTCCAAGATGCAAGTTCTTGTGTGAAAGCGATGGGTATTACCTTGTTATCGCGGCATCTCTTGAGGAAGGCCAGCGTCTCGAGAAGCTGTGACTTCTTGTCTCGTTGTTTTCGAGATGCCGCGATAACAAGGTAATACCCATCGCTTTCACACAAGAGCTTGCATCTTGGAATCCCTGCCTCACTTGATACAGCAAATCTGGCTGTGACGGTCCCACCTGATGACGGAGACTTGTGTTGCCTCCGAAACGTTGTGATTTTTATTATTCTATTTTATTAATTTCATTTTTTACCTACGTGACTTTACCAACAAAACTAAGAGTATAAGTAAACTAACTTGGAGTGGAGGGTTAAAAGGGGTTTGAAATTCGAGCGGACACGGGATGAAACATGGGGGGGAACCTAGCTTTGAGGGGTGATAGAGGAAGAAGTCGTTTCACTCGCTCGCTCATCCGTATGCCCGCTCACCCACCGGATCCGCTCACTCACCCATTCACTCACCCACTCACTCACCCACTCATTCCTTCACGCATTCATCCATCCAATCATACAAGCTCGTGCACTCACTCGCCCGCCCATTCACGCACGCACTCACTTACCAAATCCGTCATCCACCCTCCCACCTACTCACCTATTCACGCACACCCACCCAATCACTCATTCACTCACACATCTACCCAATCACCAACTCATTCACTCACTCACTCACTCACACACCCAATCACTCACTTACTCACTCACACACTCAATGACTCACTTATTCACTCACTCATTGACTCACACACCTACCCAATCATCAACTCATTCACTCACTCACACACCCAATCACTCACTAATTCACTCACCCACACACCCAATCACTCACTCATTCACTCAAACACCTACCCAATCATCAACTCATTCACTCACCCACCCAATCACTCATTCACTCACTCACACACCTACCCAATCACCAACTCATTCACTCACTCACTCACTCACACACCTACTGAATCACCAACTCGCTGACTCACACACCTACTCAATCACGAACTCACTCACTCACACACTCACACACCTACTCAATCACGAACTCACTCACTCACACACCTACCCAATCATGAACTCATTCACTCACTCACTCACACACCCACCCAATCACTCACTAATTCACTCACTCACACACCCAATCACTCACTCATTCACTCAAACACCTACCCAATCATCAACTCATTCACTCACCCACCCAACAATTACTCACTCATTCACTCACACACCTACCCAATCACCAACTCATTCACTCACTCACTCACACACCTACCCAATCACCAACTCATTAACTCACTCACACACACACCTACCCAATCACCAACTCATTAACTCACTCACACACACACACCTACCCAATCACCAACTCATTCACTCGCTCACACACCTACCCAATCATCAACTCATTCACTCACTCACTCACACACCTACCTAATCACCAACTATTTTACTCACTCACCCACCCAATCACTCACTCATTCACTCACTCACACACCTACCCAATCATCAACTCATTCACTCACCCACCCAATCACTCACTCATTCTAAACACACTTAAGCGGTGTGCTTTCGCTAAGTTGTCCCCACCTGAAGAAGGACGCTTGTGTTGCACCCGAAACGTCGTGATTTAATTTATTAAAATTTTTTACCTACGTGACTTTACCTAAAAAACCAAAGAGTATGTACTCACTCATTCACTCACTCACACACCTACCCAATCATCAGTTCATTCACTCACTCACACACCTACCCAATCATCAACTCATTCACTCACTCACTCACACACCTACTCAATCACCAACTCGCTCACTCAGGCCAGAGCCTGTGAAGCAGGAGCGAGTGGGCGTGACCATTCGAGGACTCTTTGGGGTGCACCTTGTCAAGGCCGTTGGTTGGGTGCACTCTGTACAAAGCTCACCTTGATCTGCTTGACTCGGTGCAGAACCATCTGGAAGGGGTGTCCGTGGGACGTCAGGTTGAAGTGTCCCACCACGATCTTGCGACCCACGATCCTGGCCCTAAGCACTGAGGGCCATTGCAACACGACCGGGGAAGGCATTGCAGTTGTGAATGCGGCTCGATATACGTGACGAAATAATCTTTGGTTCTTCTTGGTTCTTTCGGTAAAGTCACGTAGAAGGGAAGTAATAAAATAATAAAAATAAAACATAATAAAATAATTTTCACGACGTTTCGGCCACAACGCAAGCAGCCGTCCTCAGGTGAAGACCAGGTCTGTCGGGGAGACAGCGTCTGAATGAAACAGCACACGAGCTTATATATATATGATCCAAGCTCGTGTGCTGTTTCATTCAGACGCTGTCTCCCCGACAGACCTGGTTTTCACCTGAGGACGGCTGCTTGCGTTGTGGCCGAAACGTCGTGAGAATTATTTTATTATGTTTTATTTTTATTATTTTATTACTTCCCTTCTACGTGACTTTACCGAAAAAACCAAGAAGATGAATCCCTGCAGTCACGAAAGCTTTAAATCGAAATTTACTCTTTGGTTCTTTCGGTAAAGTCAAGTAGATGAAAAATAAAAATTAAATCACTACGTTTCGGAGGCAACACAAGCTTCCGTTATAAGGTGGAAGAACAGCCACAGCAAAGTTACTGTAGTGGCTGTTCCACCTGATGACGGAAGCTTGTGTTGCCTCTGAAACGTCGTGATTTAATTTTTGTCATTATTTAGATTTTGCACCTACGTGACTTTACCTGAAAGAACCAAAGAGTATGGATCCTTGCAGTCACGAAAACTTCAAATTTTAAATTGACGTGACGAAAATTAAACCAGACTAAACTGATGATTTTTTAAATTCTATTTTACCAGCTGTGGTCCCACTGAGCTATTATATACCATAATAATAAACAGTGGGCCATTCCTGGCCCTTCGCCCCCCCCCCCCTCAACCATTATATATACGGAGTGGTATCTCCTGCAATCTCTCATTTACTTGATACAGCTGTCGGGCTGTGATGGTTCCACCTGAAGACGGAAGCTTGTGTTGCCTCCGAAACGTCGTGATTTTATTTTATTTTTATTAATTTAAATTTTTTACCTACGTGACTTTACCGAAAAAACCTAAGAATATTATATAGCTCTTTTTTCAAAAGTGGCTTGGCCCTCGCAAATGGTAGCCCAACGAGGCGGCTCATCGTCGTCACGAGGAAATGTGCAGCAGCAGCCAAACACTCTGAACCGCGTGACGTTGATTCTAAATGTGGAGGGGGAAAATCCGGAGGAGCCCGGAGAAAAATCCACGCGACCGCGGGGAGAGAGAGACACGCAAACTCCAAATATACAGCAGCAGGCGTCAGGGTTGGGATCGAACCCACGACCTCCTGTACACAATGGCGGAGACAGTGGGGGGAGGGTGGTGGCACGTGGCCCCCCAATGATCCGATCGAAATCCCTAATTCATATCAGATCATTATTAGTAATAGAACGGCATTTTGCGACCCCTACTGCCACTGTGTGCCACGGACTCTATGAGATGATAGGACAATAGTCTGAGTCCATAATTGGCAATAAGTCACGGCAAAGCAGTTATAAGTGACTCACAGAATTGTGCGCAGTTGCGTATACAGTACACACGACTTCCCCGAAGGCATCATCACCTTCAGCGAGCACGATGCCGATCACACCACGCGGTTCGAATTCGACCCTCGCTCGATGGCTGCTCCATCGCCGCGTCGAATAAAAAGCAAGGGACAAGTCCTTACTTCCTAACAACTCCTCTATCATTTTTCATTGAAAATCCTGGCTCCGCCGTTGCCTGTACACCAGGCGACATAGTTAACATCTCTGAGCCCCCGTGTTGCTCCCTTATCAGACGTGATCTGTAAGGGCTCTGTATTAGGACACCGCTGGGAGCTATTCACTTTGAAATCTGTAATGACAGTAGAGTCTATATGCAGTGTGAAGGGACTGGTGGCCACGGGAGGTAATGACACGGGAGTCAGTTGTGAGTGAGAAGGGACTGGTGGCCACGGGAAGTAATGACAGGGGAGTCAGTTGTGAGTGTGAAGGGACTGGTGGCCACGGGAGGTGATGACAGGGGAGTCAGCTGTGAGTGCGAAGGGACTAGTGGCCACGGGAGTTAATGACAGGGGAGTCAGTTGTGAGTGCGAAGGGACTAGTGGCCACGGGAGGTAATGACAGGGGAGTCAGTTGTGAGTGCGAAGGGACTGGTGGCCACGGGAGGTAATGACAGGGGAGTCAGTTGTGAGTGCGAAGGGACTGGTGGCTTATGGGAGGTAATGACAGGGGAGTCAGTTGTGAGTGCGAAGGGATTGGTGGCTACGGGAGGTAATGACAGGGGAGTCAGTTGTGAGTGCGAAGGGACTGGTGGCCACGGGAGGTAATGACAGGGGAGTCAGTTGTGAGTGAGAAGGGACTGGTGGCCACGGGAATTTTCCAGAAGGGAGTGTGGTCACGCGACGGAAGCGGACGGTGGAGTCTGCCGGTGGAGCGAGCTTCCAGAGTCAGCGAGAATGATCGAGAAGGGGGGCGTGGTCTCGTGTTGGTATAAAAGGGAGACGCGTGGGAGACTCGGGGCTGTTGCAGTGGGGGTCTCCGCCTGATGTCAAGTGAACGTGTCTTCAATAAAGTGCCATCTCCAGAGAAGTGTGTCAAGGCGTCATTGTGTTTAGTTTGTAGTACTTTCGCCACACCCGGATTAGCACGTTTGGCTATGTACGTTGCGAAATAAATTCAACGTACGTATGTAAGCGCCGTGATAGTGGTGACGCCGATCTTTGTACGACGGCTTTAGCCAAAAGCCGCCGCCGCTGCTGCCACGAGGAAGCGACCAGAGTTCATCTTCTTGGTTCTGTAAAGTCACGTATATTATATTGGTTCGGTAAAGTCACGTATATTATATATTATATTATTATATTATTATTATATTATTTTATATCATATAATTTAATATTATATTATATTATTATATTATTTTATTATGTTTTATTTTTATTATTTAATTATTTCCATTCTACGTGACTTTACCGAAAGAACCAAGAAGATGAATCCCTGCAGTCATGAAAGCTTTAAACCGAAAAATAAAATTCGACCAGAGTTCGCCGGATGGTGATCACGCAGGGATATCGCGACGCCACCGAACCGGAGTGGCGAGCTGTCAGGCGGTAGCCAGGACGTGGCGGCGAAGGCATTTTGATTTCGTGAATCCATCTGTAGCGGGCCCTTTTTGAGTGTTACACTCGTCTCGTAGGTTTCAGTTCGCTCCGGGCACTTTGGGCTTTTCTCTCTGCCGCGTTGTTGCATTTCTAAAAACGTGCGTCTCGATCATTCAGATTATTTTTGGCCGCTACGAATGCCCACGTGATGATGAGCCACGGCGTTGGGCTGTCACTTGTCCTGGCCAGGATTAATTTAAAAAAATAACATAAAAGCTAAGTAGGCTGTAACTCGTAATATTTTTTATTTTATTTACTTCTATTTTTATTCATAATAAAGATTTTTGGGTTAGATCGCGTTATTTATAAATATGTGGTAACCCTCCACCACCCGACACGGCCAAACAGGCAATTCTGGCCAATCTGGCAAATTTCTCGATGAAGCTGGATGTAATTACCAGCGAAACGTCGTACTACTCAAATTTTAAATGATGTTGATTCACTCTTCAACACACCGGTGGGCTAAAGTAGCGAATTATTTGTCCTTTGTAAACGTGACACATTTTTTACTGTTTGGCCGTGTCGGGTGGTGGAGGGTTACGACACATTTATAAGTAACGCGATCTTACCCAAAAACCTTTATTATTAATAATATTGGTCGCGAAAGCCTCCGTGTTAAACGGTATTATTATTTTATTATTTCCCTTCTACGTGACTTTACCAAAAGAGCCAAGAATAAGAATATGTTTAGTTGCATTTGTACATATTGTTTACCTTTCCTCTACTTTGTAATCCGATCGTGTTGTTGTCGTTGTTTGTTGTTATTGTCACGTTCTGACCACGTGCCCCTACCGGACATCACTGAAAAAAAGAGCTTTACAGCTCATCGGATTCCTCCAGTAATCAATCAACATTATAAAGTCCGATTCCATCGGCTGATGTATTGACACAGTCGCTGCGTGGAGCGGTGGCGCAGTGACTACTGGGGGCTGGTCACGACGGCAAATATTTGAACAAGTCCTGGGCGTCACCTAGGTCTGCTCAGCCTTAAATGATGGGGGGGGGGGGATCGTTGTATTTGTCTATCAGGGGGTGGCAGGAGGTAAACGCATGCGCGCACTTGTGGGTGGGTGTCATTGTTGTTGTTGTTGGCCCCTGGGTTTAATAACTCCCGGCTAACATCAGTGGCGAGCGAAATCCAAAGCAGTGCTGAGCCACCTCCTCCCAACTGCCCCCGCGGCCCGACCCCCCGATTCACCATCCTGCACTGACCCCCCCCCCCCTCATCACGGTGAAGGAGGAGGAGGAGGAGTGGAAGAAGGAGGAGTGGAAGAAAAAAAATGAGGAGGAGGAGAAGGAGGAAAGAAGGAGGAAAAGGAGGAAAAGAAGGAGGAAAAAAAGGAGGAAAAGAAGGAGGAAAAGAAGGAGGAAGAGAAGGAGGAAAAGGAGGAGGAAAAGAAAGAGGGAAAAAAAGGAGGAAAAGAAGGAGAAAAAGAAGGAGGAAAAGAAGGAGGAAAAGAAGGAGGAAAAGAAGGAGGAAAAGAAGAATAATAAGGAGAAGAATGAGAAAAGAAGCCGCTTCGCACGGGTTGTTTTGTTGTTGTAATCGCCACTCCACAACGAGCCTCAGCGGCAGCAGCAGTGGCCGTTCCGGCGGTTCGGATGAGAGCTTTTAATTGGCTCATTGATTCATTGGCCGATCGACTCGCCCTGTCAGGCGGGCCCGCGGGGCCCCTCCAGCCGGCTCAGCGACGGGCACGAGATGTCTTTATTTTAATTCGGGGGGGAAAGGGGGGGCAAGGGGTGGGTAGGATGTGGGGGGTGTTGGGGGGTGGTGCCATCCGTCGCTGCTCCCCACAGCACCCCCCCCACCCCCCGCCGCCTCCT